AAAAGCAGGAAGGGGTGAGAGAAAAAGGTCTTTTGGAATTCTTGTCTCATGCGGTTTTATACCTTTTGGCTGTCTTATATTGTTGTTGTCATTTTGCGTGGACTTTTGACAAGCTTTTTTTTTTTTTTTTTTTTTTGAATTTATACCCGATCGAATTGTACTTTTCGTGCTCTTGACAAAAGCCATGACTTTTTGAGGGTGTCGTACGAGATCGTTAATCGTATTCCGGGGTCTGTTGTGTTTTTGGGATCTTTGAGGGGTCGCGGGGGCTGGATGTAAGGGAGGGAAAAAAAAGGGATTCCCTACCGTCGTATATTTTAGGGTGAAATTGTCCGAGAAGCGTGCAACTATAGTCACAAAGTTGTAACTAATTCGGCGCTCGCAGTAAATTAGTTGGGGCGGTTGACAAAAATATGTTTAGTGGCTTCGCGTTACACTACGGCTCTTATTACCGGGGGACGGAGATCTCTGCAGGTTCCTGGGCTGGGTTTTGACTTTTTCTTTTTTTTCGTGAGACGGCTGAAGGGTGACGAGAAGACGGAAAAAAAAAAATCTGAGGAATCTTAAAGCGTGAAAGATCGTCGCGAATGATTCATGACGTTTTTGATTTTTAAGGTTTTTTTTTTTCAAGTTTTTTTTTTTCTCTAATAATTTTTTTTTCTTCTAAGCCGTATTTTCGTCTCTTCCTCATTCGCCTGTCTCCACGTTGCTCTTACGCTTGGACAATCTCCAAAATTTTATCAGGGTGCAAGGTCAGCCGACTTCAGTCAATCCGTTAACTCATTTAAGCATGCGATATGAATTTTCGAGATTTGGTGCATGTTTTTTTTTTTTTTATTTTATCTTTCGAAACTTTGTCGCCGCGTCTTTGCGAAATGACTAATTTGATGCGGTTGAGGGAAAATGAGGAATTCGGTATCGTAATTTAAATTGCATGATTTTTATTAAATTTTGATAATACTTTTTTTTTTCACCGTCATTCATATATATTTATTCCATGTAATTTTTTGCTCTCCATTATCATAACACGCAACAACGCTCTATCCTCGTTGACCTCAAATCTCCAGATTGAACTTTCATAAATCACCTGGGTCTCCGTCTTTACGCGGATTAGAGCCGTTAATACGAGTCCCTGACCTAGACCAATTCGTAGTTGTGCCTTCGGCAGACGATGGAGCTCCTATCTATTCGAAGCGAGCGTTTACGATAAATTCAGTATTTCATTGGATAGCACCAAAGTATCTAATCGAACGTCCAGCGATGATAGCAGTATTACGCAAGGTATCTTAAACAATGGTTCAGATTGATCCTTATGTAATTTCAATTATACGTGTCTCTCCGAGCTGCCGTTATAAAATATTAATGTCAATTGGGGAAAAAAAAAAAAAAGAAATTCAAGCTGACAACCTTGCAATGCCTATCAGAGCCTACAGCGACCTATAGAGTTGCAGCAGCTGGGATGATTTTTTTTTTTTTTTTTTTCAAATCTATATACTATGATTTTTTTTGAATCAGTCTATAAATAATAGCAATGTAATAATTTTACATACCGATTGCGTAACTATGTATCGATGACCCCGTTGATCCTCGTATTTTAGCCGGTCGACCGGTCGTGTGATAAATCGACGATCATTACGCCGACTCGTGTATCGTTGACGTTTTGGGTAATTGTTTTTTTTTTAAATAATCATTTTTTGCCTTTCTCCGTGCATATCGATAAATAATTAAGGACTCAATCACTCGACGCACTTCGAAGATGTCATCGCGGGTGATCGACAACCTTTCGACTTGACGTACATTGATTTGTTATAAGTAAATTAAAAGAAATTTTGTAATCTGAGGCAATCACCGAAATACGTAAGCAGATTTTTCGTAAATCCTGCAAAGAGAGTACTGTGCACTGCGATACAAGAAATCTTGTTACTACCAATGTAAATCTGTATCTCGGCCGAAATTCTTTTTTCAATTCAGCATATGTGTAGTTATTTGGACACAGGGTATATATGCACTCACGTTAGTACCTACATCCCCATCTAAGAAATCCAAGACTTGAGATCTTCCGGGTCGTTCTCATGCTCGAGTCGAGTGGTTAATTTTTTTCCGAAAAAAAAAGAAAAAAAATTGTCTCGTGTGAACCCAGCAATTAATTAGGGAGACAAATTCCACTCGTGACGGATGGAATATCTTGAAAATCGAATTTGAGTTTGGTATCAGTGCGTGGTGAGGGGGCGTTGAAAATTTTCATTGGAGAAAAAATGAAAAAAAAATTTTTTTTTTCAAATATCTTTCTCCCCTATATTATTCCCTTAACGTTTTCGTACTTTAAAACCAGCCTCGTATAGGCGGACGAGCTGAGTTTGAAAAAGTCTGTTTAAGTGGTTCTTCAGCGCGAGCTGGTCTGCGGTTACACATGCTACATCCTATACTTTCGACCTGACTAACTGGCAGCGGCCAGGAACGCCAACGCCGGGGCCTTTTAACATACCGCGGGCACTCGAGTGTTTCTGTACGGCGGCGCTACGCTCGTAGAATATAACTTTAACCGACCAGACACCCTGCAGGAGCCTCTGACACTTTCGTATTAAGGTATAGGAGCGCTGTCATGCATCATCCTGAGAACCCCGTACCACGTGGCCGCTCCTAAATTAATCAGTTAACTTTGCGGCGCCGCGTCGACCCTGTTTCATCGATTTGACATACGGTATATATTTGTAGGTTAAGAAAAAAAAAAATTCCCTTAACAAATTTTCCTTACGGATCGATCCCAGATTCGTTGTACATCTCGATTTAAAAAAAAAGGAATTCCTCGCGGCGCGTCACGCATCGGCGAGTGTCTTCCGTTGGTCGAGACTTCGCGCGCATGCGCACTGGGCTGGTCGTTAATTTCAAATCCGCAGCGTGAAGTTCGCCGTGAATCGTAAAAGCTCAAGGCAATCGGGCACTTACCAACTTCACGTTTTAAATCCCGATCGGTCTGGCTCGACTTTATGGGAAATCTATATATGCTAATACACCAGTAGAAGCGAGGAGACCGAAGAAAATAACAGCCTCGGCCAGCAGATTAGAAGAAACTTACAGCTGTACGTAACTAACTCTCACCTGTACCTTCTGTACACGGCTACGGCGCGATTACCCTTGGTTGCCACGCGGATAGACTGATTGCGAATATTTTTTGTTGTGATTTAATTTTAAAAAAAGATTTTTTTTCTTTATTTTGCATAATAAAAAATTATGTCTCGCGTAACCGACGATTTTGACGATTTCGATTAGATTCGAATTTCCCGCCGAATATTTATATCGGTTACCGGCTCTTCTTCGTCACGGCGGAGCTCAATGGAGGGATACGGACGGCGCGTATCGTTGCGCCTATGCACGACTTGCACATTCCGCTGTTCCGTTTTGAAATCCCATGGCGATTCACCGATGGCGTCGTAAAGACGCGGGAGCGCAACCTGAACCATGGTGCCACGCGAACCTCGACTCAAATCTGCATCAGCAACATCTCTCTTTGCTTATATAATATCCGATTGCTTCCCAGTCCTGAACTCTGCCAACGGACTCGGCTGACCTCTTCGTCCTTCTTGGCGCTTCCTCTCCGAGTAATACGAAGCCATGGGCATATATATATATACACACACACACTCGTCCTATACACTCTGTTCAATATTACGTTACTTGGGCTTTGATATAATTGAAGTTTGATAGCGGGGATAATGGCACTGTACTTTCCTTCTAGCATCCCTGTATATAATCGTATATACGTATATACGTATATACGTATAGACACGGATTTGACGTTACTGGCAAAATTTTCCTTGTATATAAAAGAAGCGGCATAAAGTTAACGAGGAATTTATGTGGGATTTTCAAACGATTTAGAAATTAGTTTCTTTTCTTTCGCTTCGAGTGTCATTTAGGACGTGTATATATACATATATATTTTTTTTTTAGAGAAGCCAGTTTTTTTCAATGAAATGTTTTTGGTCAGGTGATGCACGTGGAATGCTTGATTAAGAACTTGTCGAGGGTAACGTTTGCCCTCGTTATTATCGATAACGCCGGAAACCCTGATAACGCCATGTCCGCCTACTCGTACTCCCTCTTCCTTTCTTCTCCGTTCGGCTTGTCGTTTGTTCGTGGGCGTTTTATTTTATTTTTTTTTTTACTTATTGTTTAGTTCAGAGTCAATGGATTTCGGCGATGCCGAAATTTTTTGTACGAATACCTCACGAACATAAGCGAACCGGAAGTACCAGGTTGAGGCTCGCCAGGTTGACCTGATTCATGACGAAATTCTGAAAAGCAATCAGGAAACGCTTAGCGTCCGTCGGACAGTGAGGCTTGTCGTTAAAAAATAAATGAGCGGCGTCGCGACGCCTGAGGTTGTTTATATCTTTGATACGTGGTCTAAGAAAAATTTGAAAATATACCTGCGGTCGCGGATGGTTGAGGGATTTTAAAATTTTGTTTCGAGACCAGGACGGGAGTAAATTCTTGGCTTTCGAATAATCGACAAATCTTGCATACAAACAGCTCCGACGCTTTTCTCCATGCTTTTCACTTTATTTTTCGTACTCACTTGTACTGTGTATCCCATCCATGCATATTCATTGTCACGTATGCACGCTGTGGGAATGAAAAAAGTAAAAAAAAAAAGGTGGTAAACCAACCTAACAATTATTCCAGCTAACACGTTAAGGAGGCCACTGATATCAGCTTTGACAGTAGGGAAAAAAGAAAAAAAAACAAAGTCCACACGCATTACGTCACGTCGCATTTACTTCGCACGAGGAATTCTTGGGTCTAAGGTATTATTAGTGGATAAAAAATACAATGAAGAATATATGGGCGCGAAGGTTATGTCAGCGATTGGGGAAAAAAAGAAATATAAGTGACGTTGAAAATTCTTTAAACGAGTCTCTGGTAAATTCGCCAAAAGTGTATCAGGCTTCTTGACGCGTCTCTGTGTCAACAAGCGGCGAGCTGACAAATTGCTCAATCGCCACGAACGAGAATGACACGGCGCGTCGCACGATGGAAAATTTCCCCGATCCTCCACGAAAGGTGCACTCAAGGCCATACACTTGGCTTATGGATAATATTCACACGAAAACGAACGGCTCCGATATTTTCTTTCCCAGCCAGCTTTTTATTACCATTGATTTTCCCTGTGAACCCGAGCGCCAAGGAGATCCTGTGTGCCTCCTGTAGCGCTGTCGCGCGTAGTACACCAAAGTCCTAACAGATGGCGCTGGCATAGATATAAATAAATATGGTAAAATCGCATGTACCAAACAGTGCACAACATCGAAGCGGAGTACTTTACGGAGGGCAGAGAGTGCGTGAACTGCGGTGCAATTTCCACGCCGTTATGGCGAAGGGACGGGACCGGCCATTACCTCTGCAACGCCTGCGGACTCTACCACAAGATGAACGGCATGAATCGTCCTCTAGTCAAACAACCACGGCGCCTGGTAAGCAAGGGAGCAATGATCCGGCCCTGGTCCTGCACTCTATTGTACGACAAACAGAGATTAGGAGCTGTTTGATTGTAAAGAAACATTAAAGAAAAAGAAAAAAAGAAAAGAGACGTACGATCAATTTTATATTTTATCATTGAAAAGCATATATATCAATATATATATATATTTTGTAATTATTATTTTTCTTTGCGTAAACGTAACAGTGGAGTGCTTGACCTTCGGGCTAGAAATGCCTCCAGTGGCGACCAGGAGCCTATGTGGAAATTCGCCCATGGTGTTGCCCTTCGTAACCGCCTTTATTACGATTGTTGCGAGTGAACCTTTTTTTTTGTTGTTGTTGCTGCTGCTGAATGAACTTGAACGATTTTTGTTGTTGTTCCTTCTCTTCTTCCATTCTGTACTTGATCTCTTTTGTCGTTCCACGCGCAACGGGGGACGACTAAAGCGATCGTCGTCGTTGTCGTCGATGCACAGTTTTTTTTGTTCTTTCTTTTTTTTTTTTTCTTACGTGAACGCGCATCTGCTTTCGTGGATTACCCTTAACGTTTGGACTCCTGTCTGTTTCAGTGGCGGACCAGGGCGATTTCTACAAAGGCATCTATGGGTATAGTGGCGTCCGTCGCGTCGTCGAGGAGAAATCGAACCGCCGTTTGGTAGGTGTCACCACCGCCCT